TTTTAGCTTGTGCTTCTCTCCCGCTAAGTGAGTTTGGCCATCGGGGCCATTTGAATTTCCTTTCCATGAGTTGGCTGCAGAATCACAGTTAGGAAAGTCACTTCAGAGAGGGCCACCTGGAAGGAGGAAGGGGGCGGTTTGTGGTGTAAAAGCCAGAGTTGGAGATGATGAGGTCAAAAGATTGGAATCCGGTGACAGGCAAGGGCCACGGAGGGAGAAGGGGGGTCAGGTCCAGCCCAGGGCGATGACTCCGGTGATGAGGGCAGGCCGGGGAAGGAAGGGGAGGTGGCGGGCCGCCGAGGCAGACGGAGGGTTCTGGGGGTGAGGATGAGGGTACGCTGGCCCATATCCCACCCCACATCGGGCCTGACTCAGAACGCGCCCTGGTGGCCACAGGCCTCTGCTTATATGCTTCGGGGCCACAAACCCTGGGCAGGAGCCCCGCGGGCCTCTCCAGCCTCAAGCCACCCCTCGGCCCGCTCTGTCCCAGACAGCAGCCCCCCAGCCCGTCAGCCGTGCCCAGCCCCCAGGGCACGCCTTTCCCTTCACCTCACCGGGCCGCCTCCCGCACATCCTGCGGTTCTCAGCTGTGCTGTCTCAAGGAAGCCTTCCAAGCCCCCAGTTGATGTCAGTCCCTTGTCATACCCTCTCTGTCCTCTCTGTGTTATCATCATTTGATACATGTCCACCTCCCCCACTGCAGCGTAACCACCACTGCTTCCCCAGAGCGCATGCCGTGTGGCAGGTACCCACTGAATGAATGAATGAGTGAATGGCAGGATGCTGGGGGCAGCAAGGAAGGGTCGTGAGAGACGAGGGTTCAGGAAGGAGAAGAGCCTGGGCTCGGCTCCCTCGCAGCGGGGTGCAAACAGCAGCTCTGGTGAGATGGACTCCCAGGGAGGGCCTCGCAAACGTGACCCGCTGTGGGGAGCCGGAGAGTGGAGGGTGAGGAGAGAGTATATATGTCTACATTTTCTCTTTCTTTTCAAGTCATCGCTCATGGCAAAAGATTTCAAAAAGGATATGAGAGTGGGTCTGATAAAGAATTCTCCAAGCTTCTGACCCCAGCCCTCCGACATCCATCCCCAGAGATAACCACTGTCCCCATGAATATTATGAGGGGCAGGACATTTGAAGGGGACTTGGACCCTCTGGGGAAAGAGGGCCTCGGGAGGGCCAGGAGTGGCTCGCCTGCTAGTCCCTCGCCCAGGGCTGCCCCTCCTGCGGCCTGCTTTGCTGTGGGACCGCCACTGCCTCTGTGGGGCTGTGGGGCCTGGAGCCCACCGGGGCCACCCTGCCTCTCCCTCTTCCCACTGCTCTGGGGTGGGGCGGCCGTGGGAGCAGGCAGAGGAGACAGCCTCGGCTGGGCCTGCAGGCCAGTGGGCAGACATCTGGGCTCCCAGGGAACAGTGTGCAGGGATCAGAGGTCAGCAGGGTCGCGGGGCAGCAGCTGTCCCTGAGACCTCTGAGAGGCCCCCAGGTCAGGGCAGCTGCAGAGTTCTCAGCTGTCACGCAGGCTCGGGCAGGGAGGAGCCGGGAGCCTGAGGGAGAACATGGTCTCTGTAGGCAAATCGGGAGCTGGCCATGGGCCCAGATGGTTCCAAATGCAGGCCAGCCCCTAGGCCCCTGGTCCCTGGCATTTCCAGGACAGTCTTAGAGGGAGCAGAGATAGACCTGGCCACTCAGGGACAGAGAACCCAAATGACAAAGGCCAGGGTACAGAGGGGCCCAAATGCCTGAGTGTGGCTGAGTCCCACCGTAGTGATGGCACCTTGGCGACCCCCGGGGTGGTGGGGCCAGGCGTGTCAGCTTCACCTCTGGTCTGCGCTCTCTCCCTCTGTCCGGCCCTCCTTCTCACTCCCCTCCCCCTCCTCCTGCCCTCCACTCCCTTGCATTTCCTGCCTTCATAAATCTAAAGCCCCTCCTCTCCCCACTCCTATACCCAAGAAGTGAAAACATGCTCACAAAAAACTTGTGCAGCACTATTCACAGCAGCATTACTGACCATAGTCAAACAGCGGAAACAGCCTCGACGTCCATCCTCTGACGAATGGATAAACGAAATATGGGAAATCTGAAGAGTGGACTGTTACTCGGCCATCCAAGGGAACGCCGCACGGACACCCGCTGTGATGTGAATGAAACTTGAAAACCTGATGCTAAGTGAAAGCAGCCAGGACCAAAAGACCACGTGTTGTATGATTCCATGACCAGAAGAGGCACATCCATAGAGAGAGTGGATTTGTGGTTTCCAGGCGCCAGCAGTGGGGAGGAGATGGTGAGTGACAGCTAATGGGTATGGGGTTTCTTTTCCAGGGTGATTAAAATATTTCAGAATTAGTGGCGATTGCACAAAACCTCTGAACTGTACACATTAAAATGGTGACATTTATATTCTTTTTATATTATATCTCAATAACAATTTTTAAAATGTTGAAAAATAAATTAGCCCTGGCTGAGGTGGTGCGGCTCAGTCGCTAGGAGTGTTGTCCCAGGAACCGAAAGGTCTCAGGTTCGGTTCCTGGTCAGGGTGTGTGCCAGAGGCAACCAGTTGATGTTTCTCTCCTCTCTTTCCCTCCCTTTCCCTCTCTCTAAAATCAGTAAGACTGTCCTCAGGTGAGGATAAAAAAACCTAATCACCTAGCCAGTCAAGGGCCTTCATCTAGTCAGAGGACTCAGTCTGGAGGGAAAGCCCACGTGTTCCACCCAGGCCTGGCTCTCAGGCAGCTCAGCCAGGAGCCCCAGGGTCAGGGGAAAGGAAGCGCGTACCAAAGAAATGAAAAATCAGCCCAGATGGCTACTCTCAGGACCAGGGGAAGCCACAGGGCTGGGCTGAGCTGGGCTGGGTGTCCCAAGGTCAGGGAGAGGAAGCCCCAAGCCCGAAGGGGCTGCAGAACGCAGGGAATGGGGGGGGCCTTGAGGCGCAGTCATGGCCCTGCCCTGCCCTCACCCCAGTGCCCCCAGCCCAACTGCCCAGCCCTGTTCTTGGCATCCACTTAGGTTTCCAGGCAGCTTTTGTTTCCCCAGCAGCAACCCCCTGACACTTCTGGAAACAGCCTGAATCTTTACAGGCAGCCACGCAGGGTTAAGGAAAGGCAGCCTCAGGCTCCCCCACCAGAGTGAGGAAGGGCAGGGCTGGGCGCGGCTGGAACGTAGAGGCAGGAAGGCGAAACCTGGTGAGGGCTTCACCTTTGAGCTCCTGTCTCAAGGGCACAAGGCACTACCAGGACTGAGGAGCGTCTGCCCAGGATCTGAGGCAGGTGGCCCCGCAGGCGATGCCCAGCCCAGCCTCCTTGCTTTCTCCACCCTCCCAGCTCCGTCAGAGGTCCAATGCCCCAACCCAGGTGGGAGCAAAAGGGACGACGCGTCAGGAAACTGGTGATGACTGGTGGTGAGGAGGGGCCGTGGAAGTCAGCTGGCAGCTGCGGGGGACTGAGGTCGTGACCAGGGAACCGCCTGGGGGCAGAGGCGTGCCTCTGCCGGACCTATCTGTTCTCTGGCTTTGCACCCTGCTTTCTCTGTTTTAAATGCCTACTCTGGCCTTTCCCGATCATTTCCAAGGCACACGGTTTGTATCCAGGCAATGGCTCTCGATCCCACTCATTCCAGATGGGCTCCAGCTTTTTACCCTGCAGGGGGGCTGCCTGCACACGCCTCCCTCCAGGATGCAGCTCTTTCCTTCCCTTCTGCCATTCTCCCCCAACCCACCAGCCCTCTGGGGCCTCCTGTCTGTCAAGGGGACAGAGAGGTCTCTGGACCTTGCCAAGGAGGGACCAAGATGTTACCATTCCCAAAGCTTCTTGAGAAGCAACATGAAAATGGTTGCCAAGAGCTGTGGCTCCCCAAGAGCCACACATGGGCTCACGTGACAGGGCTCGGAGGCTTGTTTATCGTGGCTGAGGGCCTGTTGGTTAATCTTCCCAGGCAAGTTTCCCTAGGAGGGGAGGGGCGGGTGTTGAGCTGACACTGGGCTTCGTGGAAATACAAATGACATTCTTGAACTGGGGCAACTGTATCAGGTTGTGGAAGAGGGGCCCGGGTTCCAAAATTGCCACATCCGGAAGCGGACAAGTCATGTTCTTTAGACCACGCCTGGGTGCTTCACATGTGGGAAATCCTGGGAGGAGGGAAAATCAGCTCCCCAAGCTGGGGCTTGTCTCCAATTCTTGTCTTTAGAGGAGGCGCCTGGAAAACGAATGAAACACACAGCAGCTGCTTGTTTTCAAAGAGAGACCAGCTTAACCCAAGTCTGGTCAGATGTGTCGTCCATTCCACCGCTGGAGGTGGAAGGCAGAGGCTGGACACCGTTAGGTTGGTTACCTGTTTATCTCTCGCTTTAGCACCCAATGCCCCCTTGGCCTAGCAGCTGGCGGCGTCCTGTCTTGGCTTTGGCTCGTAGGGGGAACAGTCTGCCAGTTTAGGGCAGGAACCCATTCCATGTTTACCAGAGACAGCGTTTCCTCAGATGCCAGGACACCCAGGCACAAGGAATTGTAGGGAACCCTGGCAGGCCTGGCCTTGTCCACGTGTTCTGGGCTATAGGCAGGCGCTGCGCTGCTGTGCAGCTTGGCGGAGCCGGCACCGGGGATCCAGCACTGGCACAGCTCCACGAGGCTGCCCCCTCCAGATGGAGAGGTCAGGCTGGGACCGCCGCGTGCATGCGAGGGCCGCGCCGGGAGGGCCAGGCACTCGGCCAGCCACTCTCTCTGCAGCCCGGCTCCGAGGCCTGGGCCCAGCGCACCTCCTCATCAGCAGAGAGGCCACGGAGGCCTTGGGAGCAGCTTGGAAGGATCAGGGCTGGGGCTGGCCGGGAACTCAGTGTGACAGACACTCTGCTTTCTCTGGACATAGGTCAAGGAGGCAACATTCTTTGTTCACTACCAGGAAAAAGAAAGGGTGGGAGAAAGACTGCACTCAGAAGTTACACGCAGAATGTACTTTTATTTACCCAAAGTTGTTTCCGTGTGGGATTCACGGAGAAAATCAGAGCCGTCTTTCTTTTTCTGAGCCTGCTGCAGCCACAGCCTGTTCACTCTGGACTTTGCACATCGGAAACAAACATCCTCCCAGAGCAGCTCGCTCAGGGCTGGGGGCCAGCTGCACAAGCCTCCCCGGCCGGGCCCTCGCCGCGCCCCTCCTTCCCAGCTGGCTGCCTCCTCTCCTTCACCTTCCAAGGTTGGGATCTTGTCTGAGGGCTGCGCCTGGGCTCCTGGCAGCTACGAGGACACGCACAGGGGGGAGCAACAGAGTCCTGGAGTCCTCAGATCCTGACCACCTGGGCGGCGACACAAGGACTCCGCCTCCCCTCCCCGACGGCGGTCTGCCGCCTGAGGTAGAGTCGGCCGTAGGTGCCCCCCACCTGCCCTTTGGTGAGGCGCCCAGGGTTCACACAGACACAGCCGAGGATGTCCTGGGGAAGGAAGGGAGAAGACTGGGTTTGGAAAGGCCGCAACTAGCAAGACGGATGTGACAGATTTGGAATCGTCTAAGAGTTGGTTACCAAAGAGGGTTTTGTAAAATGGAAAGGAAGGCAACCAAACACATGTTAAGTCATATATGTTAACTTATTATTGGGAAACTCTTGAGTTCCTTTGGTGTCTCTGAAACAGAAGAAAGAAGGTGACTGGGCAGGCTGACAATCAGCTCCCAAACTTGGAGACACACCTGACGTGGCTATCGTTTTCACCATGAAAAAGTCTACCGCTTGAGGTTGAACTGGCTCTGGTTTGGCAAGAGGGGGACTGGTTGGGTGGAGTCCTGGGGAGGGACCCACTCCCCACGTGGGCAGAGCCTCAGTGGCAGAAATGGAAACCCTAAGGTGCCCTCCAAGTTCTCTGGGCTGAGGCTGCGTGGAGGTCAGATCAGAATTCAGGGGCGAGGGCAGGCAAGTGCCTCCGGGTCGCCCGGGCAGGGCCCCGCCTGAGAACCATTGCTTTAGGGCCATTCTTCTGGCTTCTGGGGCTCCCAGGCTGGGCAGACCGAGCACCAGGCTCTGGGGGGGAGAAGGGAGCAATGGGACATCATTTACTGAAACGTTTTACTAACAGGCTGTTCCCTAGTTTCTACTGCCTCCCCAAGACACGGGGCCGCCGTCTCCGTCAGCGGAGCCTGCCGAGTGGGTGCTGGTGGCCTAGCAGGGAAAGTCCAAGGCTGGCTCTGGCCTGTCTGGGAAAAAGCAGAGCTCAAACTTACCTTGATGAAGTATCTCAGCTCTGACGGGATTATGAAGACGTCTGGGGTGACAGGCAGCTGGGCATAGGCATAGAAATTCTCATAGTCAATGGCCATGTCTTCCTGGGGAGGGTACAGTGGGTAGTAGCTACAGAGACAGAAAGGAACAGTGAGCAGCTGCTGATTCAGGACCCCCCCTCCTCAACCGGTGGATCCCCTCTAGTCACTGGTTCCCATACTGTCACAGACTGTCTCTTCCTGTCCTGTTTGGGGGACAGAACACAGGCCCGTCATCACATGGCCTGGGGAAAGCGCGCACGAGCCCACCTCCCGGAGCTCCGTGACCCCAAGCACTCTCCGCGCGGTCAGCTGTTCCAGCAGGCGCACTCACCTCCTCTGCGTCAGGATGTGCCTGAGGATTCGGCTGAATCTGTCTGAAGTTCCAGAAGAACTGGGGAGGGCAGACAAACAAGAAATGGAGTGCAGGACCTTGATTTTCGGTTTCTATTTCTCTTTGGGGAAGCCTCGAGGATTTAATAAACTAGAGAGAGGCTACAAGGCCAAGGCACAGTGACAAGAGGGTCTCTCTGGGGAAGTTTAAAGACCCACTCACAAGTATTAACTCGGTCTGCTTCCACATGAGGAGGGGAGCAGGACGCTGGGTTCAGAAGGGGAAAAGTAGGAATCCTCTGTGATCAAAATGAGGGCAGCCAGCACGGGGCTGTGCAAGAGCACGCAGTCCGCACCAGTGCGAGGCGAGCGTGTAGCCGAGGTAACCGCTGCACCTCAAATCTCAGCCAACAAGCTCACACCCCTGCTCACACGACTCCGACACTACGCCGCACAGCTTTGGCTGCGTGTGATTCTCGGCAGAGCTACAGTTCACAGTTCATCCTCCACCAACAAGGACACCCACTCTGTTTAGGTCACAAACATGAGAGGGGAAGAAAAGCAGATGAACTTCCATGACTATAAATTAAATTAAATGCAGACAGATGGACATGGTCCTCTGGGGTCTCAAACACTGTGGAGACAAATGGTAACAGAAACAGGCTGCAGCCGCTCCCCTCACATGGCCAAAGGATGGGGCTGGAGGACGCGCCTCACCTGCTGATCTCCTCGGCACCCATGTGGAACAGCAGATCCGTGGACGTCAAGCCGAAGACCACGCCATTTACAGAGAGGCTGCAGGGATCGGACACGAACTGCACTCGCTGCAACAAGAAGGGGTTGAGAATTGCCAAGGGCCGGGAGCCTACTGGAAGGGAGGCCAAACCAATGTAGAGTAAGTTACAAGCACATTTGCCTGTTAAAAATAGTAGCTTAAGATTCAGCTCCTCTGGTCCAGGCGCGGGCCATCCCCGGCTGGGCGCATGCCAAAGGCAACAAAATCGATGCTTCTCTCTGGCATCAATGTTTTTCTCTCTCCCTTCCTCTCTCTTTAAAAGCAATAAAGAAATGTTCTTGGATGAAGATTAAAAAAAAAAAAGATTCATGCCCTGTGTGTGCCCAAAAAGGCATCTTCACCCTCCACTCCAGGGACAGAGCTGGGTCACGCGTGGCACATTCGATTCTGCAGGCTGAGGAGGCGCTGGTACCTTTTTGTCCTCTGGAGGTAGATCGGAGTAGCTGAAAGGTGGCTGTGGGTACACGGGCTCGTGGTGCACGTCTCTCAACGATGGGACAAAGATGAGGTGAGAGCCGGAGCTACTTCGTCAAAAAAAAATCAGCAAACGGGAGAAAAAGGAGTACAGGTGAGCGAGAGCAGCTAGACGACAGTAGAACATCAGTGCTTACGTAAGACTCAAATTCCAGGGGAGAACTGCAGAAATGAACTCTCCTATGAAAAGAGGTGCCACTTCCCACGGGACACTGAGGGAAGACAATGTGTGCTCATTCATGCACATCCATCTGGACCTGGAGCAGGTCACCAGGACGTACTTTCTTTTGGCTCTGCATGGTGAGATGGGACTGCTGTTTGGTAGAAGAGGAGAAGTGCCCTGGCTGGGTAGCTCAGTTGGTTAGAGTGTGGTCCCAATACGCCAAGGTTGCTGGTTTGATTCCCGGTCAGGGCACATATGAGAAGCAGCCAATGAATGCATCAATGAGTGGAACAACAAGCAAGAAATAACTTTTTAAAATTTTTTAAAAAGGAAAGGAAGAGAAGAAATTGGGATCTAGAAAATCTAGAAAGCATTACAGCCTGAGAGCCAGAGCTGAAGCCAAAGCCCTGCCTCCTCGCACCATGCGAACAGACGCAGCATAAAGGCGTTCCTGTCTCCAGCCAGGGCTGCCTGGGAGGAGCCCGGCACGCTAGTCGGACCTGGAGACTGCTTTCATGTTTGCAAGATCGAACTGCAGCCTCCTACTGACCAGACATGGGGTCTCAAATCTGACATGGAAGACAGAGACGGCTTCAGGGAGGTGGGGAGCCAGCCCCGCCCCTCTCACATAGGGCGTGATGCCCTCGGTTCTTGTTTCTCAGCAGACAGTCTTATAAGAGTGAAAGACATATTTAATAGCAACAGTAAAAGCATGGCTGGCAGATGCTTCCTTTGATGGAGGCAGAAGGGGAATCTCCAGGGTTACATCGTATAAGCGATGTAAAAACCTTTAACTCTGGGCGCCGACTGGGCACCCTCCCCGGCACACGAAGGAAGAAAGGAAGGAAGGCCGCTTCCCCAACGCCTGCAGCTGTGCGGGCAGAGGGGCCTATTAGAAAGCAAACAGGCATGAAGCGTGACTCCGGGGGCTTAGCTAAAACCCACCATAACTTTCACTGCCAGCTCTCTCCCCTCCTTAAAGCTTGTGGCCTTGCCAAACGTAGCTAATGTCCCTAGCTGCCTCTCATATAGGATAGAGGTGTTGGTGACTGTTGTCACATTAGTCACTTACTGGTCATGCCGGCTCATGTGAACTGAGATTTCTGCAGCAGAAAACCAGAATCTTGAGACCAAAGGACCTTTGCATACGTTCCAGTCCCCCTGACATTACAAAGTTCACTGTAATGATCCTTGTCTACAAATTCAGGTGCTGGAGCCTGGCAAACAGGTCAGGGGTGACCCGAGCGGCACAGGCTGCGCTCCAGATCCCCAGGGCTCAGTCTGTGATGAACATGAAGGGTCAGGTGGCCGCTGTATTTTATTTTTTAAATTTTTTAAAATTGATTTTACAGAGAGCGAGAGAGAGAGAAAATCAGTTTGTTTTTCCACTTCATTGGTTGATTCTTATATGTACCCCGACCGGGGATCAAACTCCAACGTTGGCATATCTGGGTGACAAGCTAACTGAGTTACCCGACCAGGGCCAGTTGGCCACTTTAAAAGATGGACTTGCTGTTTCGGTGTAGGCGCTGGGAGAGCAACAGTTAAGGAGGAAAGAGCTCTCTTGCTCAGGGTTGTAGACTGGCTGTAGGGGGAGGGATCCAAGAGAAAATTCCAGCTATGCTGAGTATTGCACAACTTCACACATCACGGTGGGAGGGACCTCAAACAGGCTCTGCGCCTGGGAGGGAGGAGGTGCTTCCTCACGGATTCTGGTTTTTACTGAGAAATCAGCATAATGCTCTGCACTTCTAACCTCTCAGCCATAAAAAGAAATTCCCCAAATGAGCGCCTTTTATATACAGCCTGGGGAAAGGTGGGGCGCTCCCCCAGCGCCCGGCACACACTGGCCGCAGATGAAAGTGCCTGGTGGTGCTGGGCGCTGCCCCGGGAGACAAAAGCTGGTCTGTTCTTTGTTTGCACCACCGCCGTCAATACCACATGGGGCGAGGAACCCAAACAGAACCCCATCTCACACTGCAAGCAGCCAGCCAGTGGTGGGGCACAGCCCCACAGCCCAGCCCGTCCCCAAGGAGACCTAATGGCTAACAACACGGGGGCATCAGCTTTTTTGGGTTTATCTCCTGAGCTCTCCAGGCCTGAGGAACTCTCAGGGTCACAACAGACCTGGCAGGCGAGAGGGAAGGCACTGCGTCATCCTCACCGGGGGCGGGAGGGAGGGGCAGCTCCAGCCGCAGCCTGTCACTGCCCGATTCAAGTCCCTGACTCTGGGTAATCTAGGGGCTGTCTTCCCCAGTCCGCAAGGCCTACAGACCATACTGGCCATACTGCCGGTACAGGGAGGTAGCATTCCAGCTAATCGACTCTGGGATCAGTTCTCACGGCCAAGGGGTGGAAGATTATACATCTTATTTAAAAAACCACCTTTGTTACAGACTTGTTTTTAAACGCTTAGCCTCAGGAATGTTTGTTTTTTATGAGTTCAGCTACAGGCAAGCAAATCCCCAGAGAAGATCCATCACCTACACGAATGTCTGTCAAAGCCTGGCACTGTAGTTGAAGGGACAGGAAGTGACACTCCCCAGAAGAGCCCCTTTTTTCCTCCATCAGAACTGCACATCTCTCTTATCACACCATGACCTTTCACAGATCCTTTCCCTTGGTCTGTGGCAGGGATTCAAGACCCCTGCCCTCCCTGAGTTTCTACTGCGGCTTTCTTGGGCCATTAACAACATCTCACAGAACGTGGAGAAGCAGTGACTCAGGGGAAGGACTTGGGCTCACCCAAACCAATCACACACACAATGAGATGTCTACGGCTCTCGGGATTTGTTGTGTAAGTCATCCAGCACTTCTCAGGACCATCCTGGGAATAGTCCCGTGGAATATGGGCACATGTGAACAGAAGTGAGAAAGGGAAGGAAGTACAGAGAGAGCAAAGGGAAGAGCAAAAGTCAAGTATGTTTATCTCAGTGTTTTATGAAGATGCCTCTTGACTCAGCGTCTGTGCACTTGAAGTTCAAGAGTTCTGTCTGAAGTTCAAAAGGATGAAAGACAGGAACCACCCCTCCTTTTGAATGGTTTCGGTTTTTTAGTGGGAAGCCCAGGAAGAACCTGGGCAGCTGGAGGCAGCAGTTTTGAATTCTGACCTTCGTGTGCCTTCAGTGATCGTTCGTAGGCACTGCTTGAAAACCTCTTCAAACGGACTCGTCAGTAGACAGTTCTGCAAGAAAAGGAGAAGATCAGGTGGGCAGACGCTTGGAGTTTATTCACCTGTTTAACATTAGATGACCCCTGAGAGATGAAGGGGATGCAAAGGACACATATCTCTCTTCAAGGAGCTGAGTCCAGTTGGGGACAAGAAAGATCAGGGAAGAGTGCATCCTTTCAAATATAAGCTGAGACACAAAGTAGGGATCATTTTGAAACCTCTTCTGTGGAAGGTAAAATATCCTGTGAATAAGGGCAGATATCCGGGGAAGGGCCACTCATGAATGCATCAAAAGACAGCAGGCTGCAGGCCACAGAGCTGAGCGGAGCCGCTGGTCAGGCGCTTCCTGGCGCAGCTCCGCGGCCCCCACACGGCTCCATCTGGGCCGGCGCTCTCGGGCCTTAGTGTCAGGCAGCGCAAAGGAACATCAGGGCTCGAGTGTTTGCATTTCCCTCCCTCAGCTTCCAAACGGCCCTGTAGTCCGGTGAAATGAAGCCCTCGAATTCCACATCTTTATTAAAAATGCCCTGTTATGGTGTCTTTCTACAGGGATGAGATGCAGGGTAACTCCAGGAGATGAAAATAACGGCGAGGACCCAACTGAATGGAAATACCCACTACCCTCCCCACACCCCCGTCACTCACCTCAACCTGTTCATGCTTAGCATCCAGGAAAGGGCCAAACTGCAGAAGAGGCGGAGGAGAGAAACAAAGGTACCAGATCAGAACCATGTGTGTCTGTGAGCGCCTTCACATAACCGCCGGTGTCCCGCCAAGGCTGCGTGAAGAGCCTGGGACAGTTAGCAGATGGGGCAGGGGCACCCAGCCAAGATCAGACAGAAGGCCACGGCCTGGTGCAGGGAGGCCGCCACGGCCCCATAACCAGCTGCACAGCCTCCTACAACACTGGGCTTTTCCCTAACTTTGTAAACGTGGCAAGGGAAATCTACGACCCTGCTAACAGGAGGACTTTGAGCTTAAAAAGAAAATAGTTCAGAGCTTGGAGTAATGAGACAAGCAAGAATCTGTAAAGGTAAAAGGGTGGAAAAACATTGGGCTTTTAGATTAAGTAGGGCCTGTAGATCATGTGTGCTGCTCCAAAGAGGTAGATGAAGAACTAAAAAATCTTATTTCTAAAAAAGGAGGAGAATCTGATATGCTTCCTAAGAATTTAGATCTGCACTGGACCTTTTTATAAAGGCAGCCCTCCGGCCTTCCCACTGGGGCCTCCCCAAGCGAAGCTGTCCCGGGGGGCCTCCTACCAGGATGCAGACGTCTGGCCGGTCATGGTTGATGATGGCAATCAGGTCGAGCAGGGGGTCATACGTGATGCTGTCAGATGTAGTGTACGGCCCACAGGCCACCAGGACCATGGTTTGCTCAAAATCTAACAGAAAAAATTGTAAGGTGTTGATTAGAAGATATTGCGATGGTGGGAGGACAGTTTGGGAGAAGCGCCACAGGGTCCAATGAACTGAGTCTCCTTATGTGCGCAGCTTGGAGACTCCAAGACGGGCAAGCCCCGCTCCCCCTCCTCACAGGGTCCTCCGCCGGCCGGTGCGCACGTAACTGGACCACGGGGCAGGCCCGCTCCTGGCAGCGCTCGGAGTGAGGGGAGGAGAGTGGCAGCCAGGAGAGACCTGCTTCTAACGTTCTCCCCCCTGATGTTTTTATTATGGTAAAATACATAAAACATGAAATTTACCATCTTAACCACTTAACATTTCAATACTGTTAATTCCTAATGTTCCGCAACCATCACCAGCACCCATCTCCACAACTCTTCGTCTTGTAGAACTGAAACTGTCCCCAGTAGACACTAACTCCCCCTCCCCCAGCCCCCCACCATTCCACAGTCAGTCTCTACGAGTGTGACTACTCTTAAGTACGTCACGTGAGTGGGATCACAGTGTTTGTGTTCTTGTGGCTGGCTTATTTCACTTTGTTTAATCTTGTAAGTAGAATTTTCTGGAATAGGGGCAAGGCAGGGTCCTGGGGGGCTATGACTAGCGCGCGCCCGGCGTGAGGGGATCTCCAGCGGTCCCTGTGGCTGGAGAACATGGTATACTGAGGGGTCCAGAGACGGCTGGGCGCGAGGCTTGAAACGCGGCTGCTGCTCTGTGATGGGGGCAGGGCTTGTTGCGCTTTGGCCCCATCATGCGCCGCCCTTTTCCTCTCAGCGTCTGCTCTCCCGTTGGAGAACCAGCCCTCTCCTCCATGAGCAGTCTTGGGGGCTATAAATGAGGTGCACTGTCCTCCCCAGCCTAGGGACAGGCACGTGACCCAGTTTCAGCCATTCTTACTCTCCTTCCAGGATCTGGAATATCAAGGTGAATTGTCCAAGGACAGAAAAAAGGTTGGAGCTGACCTGTTCCAGCAGCGGTGACCCCATAGGACAGCTGGAGAATTCCTGCTCCCTGGCCACCTTGAGCTGCGAGCTCCTTACCCTGATTCTAAGCCTGATGTCCAGCCGCCTGACTAGTCTGTGCACTGTCTGGACTTCCTCTCACAAATTCTCTTTTTTCTTAAGGTAGCCTGACCCAGTTTCTGTTTTACAACAACAAAATCCAAAGATTCCTGTCTTTTTTTTTAAATCCTCACCCAAGGACATTTTTTTCATTGCTTTTAGAGAGAGGAAGGGAGAAAGAGAAACTTCGATGTGAGAGATACCCATTGGTTGCCCTCCGTATGCACCTGGATCGGGGATCAAACATGCAACCTTTTGAATACAGGACAATACTCCAACCAACTGAGCCACAGTGGCCAAAGATCCCTGACTTCTTAACACGCGGTTGTACTCCTTTCCCATGGCTGCTGCAACAAACTACCAGCAACTTAGTGACTTAAAACGACACACATCACAGCGCTGGCAGGGCTGGGTTTCTCCTGGAGGTCTGAGGGCAGAACCTGTTTCCTTGCCTTTTCTAGCTCCCAGGGGCCGCCTGCACTCCTGGGTTCAGGGCCCCCCTTCTGTCTTCAAAGCAGTGGCCTGAATTCCCAGTCTGAAGCTGAGCCTCTTGCCCTCCCTCTCATAAGGGCCTCCCTCGATAACCCAGGATAGCCGCTCAAGACCCTTAATTTAATCACCTGCAAAGTCCCTTTTACCCTATAAAATAACTAATTCACAGGTTCCAGGGATGAGGGGTGGGGGTGGGAGAACTACCAGGGTGCTAATGCCATGACTGAGACAGAGAATTCAAGGGGAAGTGTAAGTTTCATACAGGGCAGGGGGCAAAGTTAAATTTGGTTCCGAGGTGCCTGCTGGGGACATATACCCAGGGTAACTAGCAAGTGCCAGGAGGGCCAGGCCAGTGGCTTTGTCTCCATGAGGGCCTCGCTCGAGACCTGCTCTCAAAACATGTCAACAACACATCCAGCTGCTTCCAAAGGCTTCCCTGGCACACAGCTCAGGCTCTAGACATCTCAGCCACGTCCATTTCTTTTCATCCTCTGAAGCTGATCTAACGCCACTGTGCTCCCCATACCGCCATAAACACACATTTTCTGACAGAGCGCACAGCCTCCTCAGTCCCTAGAGTCCACCTGCCCTTCAGGTCGTCTCCGAGAATGACTCACAAACCACTCCCGTGCACAGGGTGCTGGCCATCTCACTGCGAATCCTCAGCGGTCTGCTTGCCCGACAAAATGGCAAATTTTTTAGGATATTTTGCAGCAAAGTTGGTTAACGTTTTTTTGTCCTTTCCCATTTAGTTTAGTTACCAAATAACTCTAGGCTTTCTTAGAAATTCATCTCATTTTTTTAAAAAAAAGATTTTTATTTACTTATTTTCAGAGGGAGGGGAAGGGAGAAAGAGAGAAACATCAATGTGCAAGGGAAATACCATTTGGTTGCCTCTCGCATGCCCCCGACTGGGGACTGGGCCCACAACTCAGACATGTGCCCTGGCAAGGAATCAAACCAGTGACCTTTTGGTTTATAGGCCGGCACTCAATCCACTGAGCCACACCAGCCAGGGCTCACCTGACTTTTTTAATAAACTTTTTATTTTGGAATAACTTGAGAATCGTAGGAAAGTTGCAAAGATAGGAGAGTTGCTCTATGTGCATGTTTTACCCAGTGTCCCCTAAGGGTGGCGTCTTTCCTACATTTGTCAGAATGAAGGCGTTAATGCTGATGTACCGCTGGTATCGACCCCGGACTTCCTGTGCGCGTCACCCATTTTTCCACTAATGGCCCTTCCCTCCTCCAGAACCTAATCCAGGAAACCTTATCGCATTTACAGAAGTTCTTTTAAATTGCTCCTAAATCTCCTTTTTCAAAGTGACCTTCAAACACCCACCACCACCGGAGGGGAACGATGCACCTCCCACCCTCAGAGCGCAGGACCCAGCCTGCCGCACGCTGCGCCCTCAGGGCCTCGCGGTGCTCCCAGGGCTCCTGTGCTTCCTCGGGGCCTGGGGAGCTGCCCTCTGGGCCTTGCCCTCCACCCTCACTGTTGGCGCGACAGCGTTTAACCCACAACTTACCTCCATCCTCTTCGGTGGGCTGATAAAACGGAAGCGGCACACCCTTAAAGACAAGAGAGGAGCGAATCTGAGGTCTTGCCCCAGGTATTGCAGTTGGTAAGGAAAGGGGTGGGCACTGAACAGGGGCGTGATGGTGGCAGGTGTCCTGCTCCTTGGAGCTAAAAGCTCACAGAGCTGATGGTACCCGCCACTTTTCTACATTTCTATATTTTGTGGCTCAGGGCCACAAAGAAACCCAGAAAATGGGAAGTCACAGCAAAACTCATAAAACACTCAGCACAAAGCGAGAGCAAAATGTCAGCACCTTTAGTAAGGAGGGGAGGGCAGGGACAGGTGACTATGGCCTGTGGGCCAACCCCGGCGGCCAGCTATTTCTGTTAGTAAAGGTTTGCTGGCGCGCAGACGCGCTCATGGTTACAAGGTACCTATGGCTGCGGTTGTGTGACACTGGTGAAGCTGACATGGCGACAGAGACCAAGTGGCCCACAAAGTCACTCTCTGGCCCTTTATGGAAACAGTTTGCTAACCCCTGGTCTAGAGGCAGGTTCTTGTTCTGGAGGTAGAGGACTAAGAAGCAAATAAACAGGCCCTCACAAAGGGCAGACTAGACTGCTCATCTGTGCCTGGAGCAGGCCAGGAGGGAGGGCGGGGAGCGCTGCGATACCTCGTAGAGTTTAGTGGCAACAAATTTTCTACCAGTGGTGTTGATTCCTTCCATAATTACAACCTGAAAGACAAGAAGCAAAACAGGAATGCAAAACAGGGGAGATAAACTGGGAGGTCAGGAGTCAATTACTTCGACACAATTAAAAGTCCGGCTACTTTCGTTTTGTAATGGTGAACCTGGGAGTGTTTTTCTAGAAAACAGATTAAGGGGGTTGTAGTAGTAACCATAATTATGCTTTTCCACAGATGACCTAATTCTGACAGCAATCCCATGAGGTAAGAATCAATATTCCCATTTTACAGACGAGGACAGTCTGGCTTCGAGGTTAACGACCACGACCACGATCACACACCCTGTGGGGTGGGGCTGGGATGTGAGCCTGCGCAGCCGGACTCCAGAGCTGAGGTCGGAGCACACAAGGGAAAACCGGAATCCCTACACCGGTGCCCGCTCTCGGGACTGTGCTCCTACCACATCTCACGGCAGCGGAGGGCGAAATCAAGGGGCAGCAGGCCAGCGATGAAATGCTTATTCCTGGAGAACAGCCCACCACACATACGACAGGACACAGAGCGCGCCCGCACCCGTCTCACCTGTCCGGGAAACAGAGAGTACTCTGTCAGCTCAGATAAATCCACTGGAACCCGGGCGCCAGAGGAATGCTCCCGGTCTCCCTCCAGAATCACCGACTTGTTGTTCAGCTTCCCATTGCTATCGCAGCCAATCTGACCCAGCAGAGTGATGGGCTCCTACCAAAGGGAGGTTGCAACGAAAGAATGACAGTCTTTGGGGCAGAGGCTCAAAGTCTGAAGTCAGCGGGCTGACCAGCGAGGCAAACCCCAAAGAGCAGTAAACGTTATTTTCGCGGGGTGTCACTCGGACCCTGAGGGGCTCAGCATCCTCGTTCACATCAGGGGCGTTAGCACTCTTACAGGGCCCCTGGTCTGCCCGCCCAGTGCTGGAGCCCCTCTGAGAGGTCACCTTAAGCTCGAGCATCTCCAGTGACGGGGGGACTTGCCCCCACGCCCCCACAACGCAGCCTGCTGTATCTCTGAATAGCTGTAATTGTTAATAACAGCTCACATTTATTGAGCTTACTAAATACCAGACACTGTTCTAAAGGCTTATGTGTATTAATTCATTTAGTCCTCACAGCAACTGTGAGGTGGATACTATTCCTGTACCCCCTTTACAGACGAGAAAAATGAGCCACTGAGACACTAGATGATTTAGTCAAGGTCAAATAGTGGGTGAAGCCTGGGTTTAATGCCCAGAAGTTTCGCTCTAGAGCCATATCCTTAACCACGCACTGTGCTGCCCCTTAACCGGAAGTTCTTCATTAAATTGAGCTGAAATGGCTCTTCCTGTGGCTTCCTCTCTCCTGTTCCCACTCCTTGGGACAAACTGAGGAAGTCTCATCTCTTCCCACAAGACCATGCATCCTTGCCACCCTCCACTACTTCCCCTCCGTCTCTCCAAAACTTCCTCGTATCACACGGTTTTGCATTATCTTCCCCAACTAGTCATTCTTCTCTGAATGAAAACCTATGGCAGGAGTAACTTAAAAAGTCTTCTAGAACACAGCTCCCCTTAGATTAAAAAACGTTCTAGAGAGAAAGCCCTGGCACCTATGCCAGATTAAATCACGCAGTAGGTACCACAAGCAGCAGGTGGTTCGTAGCAGAGACCAAGCAAGGAACAGAGCGTGAGCCACCGTTTCTGGAACCCCTTTCCTTGCTGCTGTCCTCACGCTCTGATGCTAGATGGAACGCCTACAGCCGTCCACCTCTGCTATGTTGTGACTCAAACCCAAGTGCAAAGACAATGACTGTGTCTGGTCACAAAGCCAGATAGCATTTCTAAGTCTTTCTTCAAAAGGGCCCATTTTAGCAAATCCAACCAGGACAGGTATTCTAACTAGGAAGCAGAGAGGTGAAAAGGGAAGCAAGAGGGTGCCTTTTACCTTGGATTGAAAAGTACAGTATTAATTAGGAAGGACTATTAGAACAACTCTTACTTGTGCTGGAACTAGAACAGGAGTGAAAGCCTCAATCTTGTAATGCTCCTTGAGTTCACTGCCAAGTTCTTCTATCTTACAGGTCAAAACTGAAATCCCAGAGGAGAAAAAGCGTTGTGTTTAAGACATTGCACTTGCCAAGAACAGAAAGAAAATACAACACATTGTTAAACATTAAAGCCAGTCATTTTACAGAGGCAGGAAGGGTGCTTAGGGGATCCAGCCAGTTCACTTTCTAAAGCCCCAGCCAGTTTCCTGATACTTGTCTGCTGGATCTGGCCTTCCACTGGCCCGGGGATCATGCGGCACAGTCCCAAAGAGTCAGCATGGATCCCCAACCCCCAGCCTTCCTCTTCCTCCGGTCATCAGTGAGTGTTAGGGCAAGTCAAGGTCACCCTAGACAGTCTTCCATTCTTCACGAGAAGCCATAAATGCTTCTGCTTTCTTTAATACTTTCATTGGCTTCCTTTACACAGTTCAAGTGATTGGTACAGGGAAATGGTTACGTGCTTTTCCTTGAGCACATTTCTTTAGCAAAGGGAAGCCACTTGGGAGAATGATCGACAGTATCACGTCCCTCCACTCCTAGGGACACCCAGAGGACATCTACCAACTTATACATTCAAAGGCAACGTTGGAACTTGTTCTGCAGCCCAGCTGAAGTTTTGCTACTTACTCTAGGCCCTTCCCAGTGGTTTTACATCCTCCAGAATTTAAAAGGGGAAACAATCACCTTCTCGGATGTCTGGAAGCTTCTGAAACATGAATTTGTAGCTCCCGGTTAGGGATTCTGGACTCCCCAAGACCCTCAGGCTGGTGACACCGGCCCCTCCTCTCCCGGACCAAGACACTCCCAGTGCTGTGCCGAAGGAGGCAACCACTTCTCCTCGGTTACTTCTCGAGTTGTATTTCTGAGAGGGAGTAGCACTAATTGGGAGCAAAAGAGATTAACATTTTACTGAGTTCACATATAAAGGGAGAGGGGAGTAAAATGAGGTTAACTTTTGGAAATGGGAATTGGTGAAAGGTCAAGCTAGCCTCACATTTTACAAATCTAATCAGCTTAATGGGGTTGGACATACCCAGACCTTTAAGGAATTTCAGGAATGAGGGGTTGAGGAATACCAGGTTAAGCAATACTAAACGTGTTCAGTGAAGTTTAGAGACAAAGACGTATTTTAAAAGGTCGTTCTCCTGGCTTAAAACTAAACAAAGCAAAACAAAACCCAAACTCTAGACTGATTAAAAAGCAAGCCTAGAGTACCATTTTCTTTTAACATTCAGCATTTATTAGAACATCTTCAGAGCCTAGAACTTGAGACAAGCCAAAAGTTGCGGTGTGTGTATGTAACACCTCACAATATAGTTCAAGGTAGAAAGAACAGCAAAAGGCAGTTCAGTGAAATGAATCAACTGTCGCCAGTCTCCACGGAGGTGGAGATGTAATGAATCTGGTCAGCTGGCGAACAAACATTCCCATTCTCCAAGGCTCAACTGACAGTTCTCAAATTTCCCTTCCCCGGCTGGTAAATTACACCTCCAAGAACACTCAGACTTTGCTATCTGCTTAGATGACAATGAGGTCTTCTAATCCTCTGGTTGTGAGCATAGCTTACGGGGGGGGGGGGGGTCCATTTTAAACAGGCTCCGCCCAATGCACCGAGACTTGGCCACGCCGGCTGCACGTGGGCCCCACTGTGACTGCTGCCATCATCCCTCCTCTCCCCAGCGAAACTACAGAAAATGGCTCAATTAATTAGCTCTATCCCCAGGGCTGCCTCTACCTGAATAACTTAAAAGTTACTTCCATAAATTACAGAACCAGTCTCTGATGTTGACTTTATTAGCGTGCATTTAAAAATGATTAGGCAGTGGATCCCTGCCTTCTCCAAGCCCCTCCCTGCAAAGCTCCGTGGGACGTCCGTGAGAGCCGGCCCTTTAGGGCGGCGAGACGCCGCTGAGAGGTCAGCTGCATGGAGGACTGCAGGTTTCCAAGGACTGCTTGTTCCCAGAATACAGCTGTTGTGGTAGTGCCGGCCCACCCACGAGAACCATCTCCATATGCCAAGTTTCAGAGACACTCTTGTAAGTCTAGAAAGTTCGCTTCTAAAATGTTTGAGAACTCCCCAAAGCAGGAGTGGACCACACAAAAATCAATTTGTCCTTCATAATCCAATGACTGCTCATCCTGAATGACTGCTACTGCCTCCTTTCTAAAGTGATGGAGCTGAGGAATCCTAAGTTCTGCCTTGTCAAGAAGAAGTGATCCGAAATTGAGGCGGTGGCCCCTGGCTGTCAGCACTCCCCAAGGCGGTGGGAATTGCTGTCCCGCGGCCTCATCCTGACATGGCAGCACCTGAAAACCTTCCTTCCACGCCACACAGCCCTCACCGATGGAATTCCCTAATATGAGAGGCGTCAACTACAGATTTCAAAAAAATCACACATGATCTCTGTGGAATCAGGTGCAGAAATGGCAGCAGGGACAAAATACCAATTAAGTCAGCGTAGATTCACAGCGACAAAAAAACTCTCAGAAACTAGCTGTAACCTGAAGCGGAACAATAAACAGGTTATGTAACATTATGAACAAAGACACGTGCTTTTCTTTTTAAAAAATAACTACTTTAGATTGTAAGAAGAAAAAAACAAAAGAAACCTAACAACACACAAACTAACAAGCAGGTGAAAGGCCATTTGCCTGTGCTGGCAGGACTGGGAGGGCTCTCAGCCTTCTGAATAGCCAGGTTGTTTCCAGTACGAGATATCAGTTCCTGATCTAGGAAACAAGCCCCAGAAAAGTGGGTGGAAAGTGAGTTTCCTTAATTACTGTAAGAAACAGTAATTTTCCACACAGGAAGAGAATGGAGGGAGGGCAGAGAGCAACAGGCCTTCCAGCCAGTTCACGGCAGAGGTGTCCGTCCACCACCACTTAATAAGTCACTCTGTAGAGGCCGCCCCACCAGATAACCAGAGAAAAGGGAGGGCCAGCCAGCTTTTGGCAGCTGCCTTAATTCTGATCGTACCTTGGCGAGAAACTTGACGGTGAGAGAAGATGATGGGGGCTGCGAGTAGACACCCTCCTTTTTGTTAGGGGCGTTTCTGGGGTGGTGACAGCTCGCTTCTGAGGACCCTAGAAACAAAACAAAAAACAAAACCCCAATCTCTCTAGACCCAAGTCACTAATTAAGTGCACAGTCCCTTCGGAAGAAGGGGAGGGCGCCCAAATGCAGGCTGCAGGCAGGGCTGGCTCTGGAGGTCGCATGTGCCGAGAGCAATCCCGTTAGAAATCTTCAGCAACTGTAACCCAGCACCTGCCAGAATACTGTCCCCATGTTGAATTATGAAAAAGTGCCAACATTTCCCAAAAAGGACTGCCAAGAGGTGGATCTGTCCTGTCAAATCATTCATGTGTTCACTTTCTTTCCCCACCTCTCTCTGCTTTAGAACATGCATGAGTTTAACAACCCATGGGTTTTCACCTGTGTGGACACATTTTCCTGAGAAGGGATGGGACCATATTACTTCTTATTTTGGCAAAGTCAAGCACACATTTTCAAAATCAGAGAAGGGAATGATTCAAGGCAGATAACACGGCTGAGCTCATACTTGGAGAGGACTTAGCAAACACGTCATTGATGGTCATTTTTTTGGTTTTTGCTTATCAACAAGAATCCAAAGATATGCCCAGAATAGAGGATGAAACCCACAGTCCAGAGACCTACCGCTCCTCAAAGAGTAACATAACTGACCAAAAGAGCTAAGGCAAATCCCTGCCCAGACTGCAACCAGAGGCCAGCGAGTCTGGGGAGGCGCTCTCGGCCCGTGAGCTCCTCCTGGCTGCGTATCTGAGTCCTGCCACCAAAGCTGCCTACAGTGACGACTGCGAGGCAGCCACAAGAGAACAGATTCAAAACCGTCACTAAGGAGCTGGCATGGAAACTGGACTTAAAAGGACTCTTATTCTACCATGCTACACAATGAACATTTTAAATATTTCTTTCTAGTATTTAAATATTTTTTCAATTAAAAATACAAACTCTAATAGTTACAATCTTAGTTTAAATATAAACCTTTTTTAAGTACTATGTATATTAATTTTTTTCCATGTTAATTACAAGCATGTTCCCACAATACCACAATCTTTATCCTTTTAGGTAGCTGTGTTGATTGAATTGAAATATAATGATTTACATAATGACTTCTCTATTGCTGGATGTATGAGCTGCTTGTAATTTGAGGTGATAATAAATTATGTTGAGATGCACATGTCCATGCTATATAGAGTTTTATATAACACTACTTGTAGAATGCAATTTCCAAACACTGTGAACTCACCTTAGAGGGTGTGGTATAAGAGTTCAAGAGGGTCTCCTCTTCTTCTTCTACTTCAATTCTAACAACATTGTTTAAGAAAAGTAATAATAAACCTCCACTCAGAATCTAAGGCAAGGGTTGATTAAATAGAAGTCCAAATAGTAAGTCCTTTTTATTTTTGTTTTCAATTACACACGCAACTATAAACAAACTATAAAATAGAATATGTGGCTTGAGGTCAAGACCTTCAGCAGAAAAGGATACAGCTCTTGTATGGAAACAATGTCTCTGGCTCCCGCATGCCCACTGTCCTTGGGGGCGTTGTGATGGACTTTGGTCAATCTTTTGCTCAGAAACTAGGGAAAAAAAGATAATGACTATATTATTCCAAGGTCAAATATTAGAGGAAGCATTTTCCAGTCACATGATAATAACAGGCTTTCGAAATATAATGAAAGATATAAAACTCCTCAAAGTAAGAATTAAGAAGGAGCGCATAATCAACTAAATATAAAGACTTATTCTGTGATTGTTTCTCTACGACACATAGTGATTCAAATAGTAACACCAATTACTTTTTGAAGATCTACCACCAGTGGGGCGTAGTCTTGGGTAACTTATGTCCATTTTCATGTAATTCTTACAACGACCCGAAAAAGTATGGATTGTTAGAAACACTGACAGAAGAGGGAGCCAAGGCTCAGGTAGTTTGTCCCAGCTCACATTGGGACTGGGAGCCAGTTTGGATTCCAAAGTTCACACTCTTTTCAATGTATCATACTGCCTCCCCTACAGAGCAGATATGGAAAATTACACGATGAATTTCCTCACATTGTGTTCTTACCTCATGCTCAAAAGAGGCCAGGATCTCTGAGGTAAGGCAATTTTTCTGTGTCCTGGTGCAGAAGGCTATGAGCTCGCTTACTATTCCCTCCTCATTCTGTCCATACAGTACACACAGCTCTACCACTGTGGAGGGAAAATCGGACAAGTGAGAAATAAACTATTTCTTGCAGATTTAACCTTGAAAAGAGAAAATAATCTCCTATTTATTCAGTCCACAATTATTCAGCACCTACTAGTGCCAGGCACTGTTCTAGGCATGAGAATACAGCAGTGAGCCAAAACAGAGAAGAATCCTTATCTTCATGAAGCTTACTGTTGGCAGGCGACAGAAAACAAATAAGTGAAATAGGTAGTGTATCAGATGGTGAGATGTGCTATGTAGAAAAGTAAAGCCAGGAGAGAAATCAGGGAGCTGGGGAAGGACTTAGCAACTTTAAATACACGGATGAGGGAAGGCTTCATCGAGAAGACTTTTGAGTAAAGACCTGAAGGAAGTGAAGGAATGAGTCACACAGTGTTTAAGGGAAGAGATTTCAGGCAAAAATCCAGAGATCAGCAAGGCCATGGGGGCTGGACGCAGTGAGGGAGGAGACATGGCTGGCCAACGCAATTACCTTGGGTAGCACCCTGAGCAAGCTGGGCAACCTAGAGGGTGGGGACAGAACAGCGGCACGATCTGACTTCCACTGACTGAACGGGGCAAGGGCAGAATCAGGGGAGCCAATGAAAAGAACCATGGTAACACCCAGGTGAGAGATGATGGTGTCTTGATTCAAGGTGGTGGCAGTGAAGGTGGCCAGAAGCGGTGGGAGTCCGGACAGGATATGCACTAAAGGTAAAGCCAGTGGGACTTTGGGACTCGACGTGAGGTCTGAAGAAAGGAGATTATGCCGTTCTTAGCCTGAGCACCTGGAAGGATACAGTCACTATTTGGTTTGTTTCTCTTGTTTTTTTTGCTTAAAAATTTTTAAAAACTGATTTTCTTGATATTTTCTTGGGCGCAGTCACTATTAACAGGTGGGGAAGCCAGCTGCAGGAACTACTTCGAGGAGAGGGAAGGGATACCAGGAACTCAGTTTTAGAAATGTAGAGTTTGAGGTGCCAACTAGACAGCCAATTGGAGACGTCGAGTAGGCAGTAGGCCAGACCAGCGTGCAGTTCAGGCAAGATGTCTGGGCTAAGACATAAAGTTGGGACTCATCAGAAACACAGGGATCTAAAGCCATGAGACCGGGTAAGATCACCAAGCCAGAGTGTCCCGAGGCTCAGGACAGGAGGGGGATGAATCTGCAGAGCCTGAGAAGTGGTGACAAGCAAGGCGGGAGAACAGCCCGTAGTGTCCGGGAGGCTAAGAGAAAACCCTGTTTTAAAGACACAATGAACTGTCAAATGTTGCTGATAATTCAATGATGAGGACGGGAGAGTCACCACTGAATAGCCAGATGAATGTCACCGATGGCCTTGAGAGAAGCAGCTTCCGTGCAGCGGTGGAGATGACAAAGCTGACGCTACGGAGAGAGACAGTGAAGACAGCAAGTGCGGGCAACCCTTTTGAGGACACTTGCTGTCATTGGGAAGGAAAGATCTGAAGTGGGAAGTGGAGTCAACAGATTTTTTTGAAGGTGGTAGTAAGAGCCACATCTCTATGCTACTGGGAAAAATCTTGTTAGAGAGAAAAATACAAAATATGTAAGAGGAGAGAACTACTGGAGTGAGGTCCTTAAGAAGGTGAGAAAGAATGGGATTTAGGACTCAAGTGGCTTTTGCTAAGAATATGGAGAATTTATTCATTGTAATAGAAGGAGGGCAAGGTTTACAGCACAGACATGGGTAGGCATGAAGGAGTGATGGTAGTAGTTTACAGAAGTTTTCTTCTAGCCTCTATTTTTTTCAGCAAAACAAAGTAAATTCAGCAGCTGAGAGTGGGAAGAAAGATGCTAAATGAGAAGGCGGAAAACAGTCGCCTAGAAGACTCAGAATGAACAGACCAGGAAAACATGGTATGGCTGTCAGGCACTGTTAAAGTCCCACTGAGGTTAGCGATTATAAACTCGCAGTCCACAATTCCAGCACCACTGCCAACGCCGTCCCGCGTGAGACGGAAGCACCTTGGGCTGAAGCCTTTACAAATTTGGTTCACACACTCATTTCTCTTGTTTTGACTTCGACCTCATCTAATAAATGTCTGACTATCACTGGGTTTCTCATGTAAGCCTCCTTTTAGGAAGAGAATGCACTGGGCATAAGAACCTGGAGTGTTCTGGTCTCTCATGAGAAATTAACACGTTAATATTTTTAAAAGTTCCCAGTGCTGATGAAAGGTTAAGGCAGGTGCACATTCATGCTGTTTCTTAAACTGCGAACTCTGCGTCTCCCCAGACTTTGCTGCACCAAGTCCTTCCACCGCCCCAGAGCCTGGCCGACGCAATGGACCAACACGATGGAGCTCTTAGGGGAAGGAGGCTGGGTTCACAGACCAGCTCAGGCCATTAGGTCTCCTTGTCTGCTTCTCCATCTGTAATCAGATGACAAACTCCCTCAAGTCCCTCCCAAAGCTAAAATTCAATTTTGGGAACCCACCCCCAGGAACTCATATTTGCACAGACTACCCACAGCTTTGATGAGATGTGATGGATCAGCAGGACTTTAAGGTGTTGGCTGGAAAGAGAGGATCCAGGGATGAAATACTGCGTTTCAAAAGCCCCACACGTCTAGCTTTGCTGTAGAGGCTTGAAGCATTTCCAAACTCGGACACGCCCCCAGAGCCTATTTTGTGTGAACCTGGCACGCCCCAATCCCGCCTTTCTGACACTGCGTTGACTTAAAGTCCTACTTCATATTCTTATTTCTGAGGTGGGGTCTAAGCAGTACTCTGTGACATTTGATAACCCAAATCTCAAAACTCAGTTTGATTCATCTCACACTCGCCCAGGCGTCTGATCTAGGGGTGGGCAAACCTGGAAGCGCTCCCCTTTAGGTTCTAGGCGACTGGGAACACCGAGCCGCGCGTGGACCTCGGCCAGGGTCCGGGGAGGGAGTGAGGGACTCACATTTCTCAGTCAGAGACTCCTCGCAGTTTAGGCCGAAGATCTCCAACTCCTCTGCCAGCTGCTGGGCGGACACGGTCATGGTGACGCAGGAGGCGGGGCGGGTCCACCCTGCTCCGACCCGAGTCCCAGTAACCCACCGGCGCGGAGATCGATTAGCAGGACGGGGTCCCGCTGATCCTTTTCGCCCTCGGGGGGGACCGAGACCGAAGGTGAGCAAATAGCTCTAAACCTCGGCCGGTGAGAAGATCCGAGCTGTCAGTCACGGAGAAACACTTTTGTTTTTTTAAAGTGGAGGAAGCCGCCAAACGCCCGAAGGAATGTAGCAGAACTCTCGAGAAGTCGCTCTCCTGGAAAGAACAGCGTACTTCCTAACAGCCACCGTGGAGCTTCTCACTGACCCACACAGAACAGAGGCTCCGGGAAAAACCCGCCAAAGCGTTTGTGCAACGCACGCATGCGCGAGACCGGGGTTCAACCCCGCCTCTTCCCCTCCGCTGCCTTCTCCAGGTTCCCGGACTCCGCGAGCGCACGTGCGTCCAAAGGTGCATGCGCACAAACGCCTGCACGCCCGCTCGCGCGCCCGCGCTCAGCGGCGGGTGCGCCCTACGGCGAATGTACAGTGTTCTCTCCCAGGCTGCGGAGCCCGGGCACAGTCGCCTGTGGGCTCCCACCCTTGGCCTTTCCGTGCCAGCCTCGAATACCTATTTTCCAGGATCTGACTGCTTGGCGAAGGTCCATGACGCACTCTAGTCACTTAGTCCAGTGCCTTGGTGCGCAGGTGCTGTTGTGTACATTCCCTCAAATGTCCCAGTCTGTCCCCTACCCCAGAGAGGAAGGCACGTCTTCCTCTCTGTCCTCCTGTCATCTCTGCACTCGGTGTGCCCTCGTTCATCTTAAAAGGGCGAATTTGTTAGGGAATCTCGTTGCCATGGTTATCATCATGGTTATCACCTTGGTCCCAGCTGCAGTGATAGTTCTATTTTCTGGATCTGGAGCACGTTGGTGGAAAAGGAGTGGAAAGGTGACAAACGACTTAGTTTTGGAAGTTAGGTTTTTGCGCCTTTGGGATTTCCAGGTAGAAATACCCAGGGGGCGACTGAAAGCTTGAAGTGAAGATGGCTCACTAAGGGGGAGGGAGTTGAGAAGTAAAATGAGAAGAGGGCCTTCTCCCAGAAGCATCTCCAAATTCTTTGAGCGAAAATCTCCATTGGCTCAGCTTAGATCAAATAACCTTAGACATCACACTCTGCCAATGGGATAGTAGACTTGTAGAGTCTTTCTAGAAAACAGTTTGGCAACATATATCAGGAGCCTTAAAAGTGTTCATTCTTCTTTGACTCAGTATTCTTTATCTCAGAAAAGCAGCTAAAGTACAAAGTTTTATGTACAAAGATGTTTGTCATGGCCATATTTACAATATATTTTTAAAGGATTTTATTTATGTATTTATTTTTAAATTGAGGAGAAAGGAGGGAAAAAAAGAGGGAGAGAAACATCAATGTGTGATTGCCACTCACTTGCCCCTTACTGGGGACCTGGCCTGCAATCCAGGCATGAGTTCTGACTGGGAATCAACCAGAGTGCGACCCTTTGGTTCACCGGCCAGCACTCGATCCACTGACCACACCAGCTGGGGCTAGAATATATTTTTTTAAAAAGGAAACTGTCTGAACATCCAAAGGTATGGTCTAATTAAGGACAGTATGGGGTTTTTACCAAAGCAGTGATTCTCCAGACTGTGCCAGAGAGGCTAAAACTCCTAGGGGACAGCTCAGAGTACGAGATGAGAGACAAGGGCCAGGCAGAGCGGAGAGCACCGCCTTGGCCTGAGTGGGGCAGTGTGGAGCTGGTTATAGTCTGCATGTTAACCACTATAGGGATTTGGGAGGAGGTGTTGTGGAGAGGGAAAATCCCTTACTCACCCCTAACACCTGTGCCTGGTGGGGACCAGGGGTGGAGTGTGGGAGTGGTCCACCTTGGTACAAGCAACAAAGGGTGTATTAGCTTTCCATTGCCATGTAATAACTTACCACAAATTTTAAATGGGCGTTGGCTTAAAACAACACCCATTTTACTAGTTCACAGTTCTGTAGGTCAGAAGTCTGAGCACAGCATGTCTGGGCACTCCGCTCAGCAAGGCTGAAATCAAAGCACTGGCCAAGGCACTTTTCTTTCTAGGGATTTCTTTCCCAGCCAGAGAAACTCTGTCTTTAAAGGGCCCATGTTTTAGGTCAGGTCCACCCAGATAATGTCCTTTTTTTAAGGTCGAATGGTTTGGGACCATGATTATATCTGCCAAACCCCTTTACAGTAGTACCGAGATTAGTGTGAAGAGAGCACTGTCTGTTTTTTCTTTTAATTGAATTTATTGGGGTGACATTGGTTAATAAAACCATACAGATTTCAAGTGTACAACTCAATAAAACATCACGTGCTCGCCCCATGTAGTCTCTTCCCATCCCCATTTATCCCCTCCTTGCTCTCTTCCTCCTCTTCCTGTCCGCCTCTCCCTCTGGCTACCGCCGTACTGTTCTGTTGTCCATGCCTATGTGTCACATATAGTTTTTTGCTTAATCCCTTCATGTTTTTCACTCAGCTCCCCCCACCCCGAGTGCTGTCAGCCTGTTCTATGTATCTATGCCTCTGTTTCTATTTTGTTTGTTAAATTATTTTGTTCACTGGATTCTACATACAAGTGAGGTCATGTGGTGTTTGACTAGCTTATTTCTCTTAGCATAATAGAAGGCACTGTCTTAACATGAAAAGACATCGACCCAATAGAACCCGACAAGGAAACATAAAAACCAGAAGTTGAAGTTATTGAAATAATGGCTAGATCTACTTTGAAACACGTAATGTCTTCGTTATGGTAATTACCGAAAATAACGTCATATAGAAGAGGGGGAGTTAAATAATCATCTGCTCTGAGTGTCAAATAGTCTAGGTATGACACCAACCCTCCTCCCTCTTTCAATCCTTCTCTGAATTATTTGTTGCCTATTACTGTCTGCAGATAGGTGTTGTGGGTTGAGAGACTAGTTCTGGTCTCTTGTAGAAGGTTGTCAAGAGCATGTCAAGACCCTCTCTCTGGAACGTGGGGTTATTTGTCACGTAGTGTACTCAGATAACAGGAAAAATCTCATCCCACATTCTGTTACAAATGCTTGGTGACCATTTGGATTTCCTCTTCTACAAGCTGCATGTTTACATCTTTTGATCTTTGCCTTTTCTTACAAAGCATCAGGAACTCTTGGTAGATCATAGACCAGATATCAATTTGACTATTCCCCTGGCAAGTTAGGAACAGTTTTTACATTTTTAAATGGCTAAAAATATTAAAAGAAGAATAATATGAAATCCCAATTTAAGTATCCATGAAGTTTTATTGGAACACAGACACATTCATTAGTTTATGGATAGACTGTGGCTGAGCCTGTGATACACAGATGCGAGTCGTTGTGACAGAGACCTTATGGCTGTTGAGCCTCATATACTTATTACCTGGCCCTTTATGGAAAACGTTTGCCGACCCCCGCCATAGACGGCACCATTATCAGACGTGCTGCACACATATTTTCCCAACCTGCCCTTTAACTTGGTGGTTTCTTCTACCAAAAGTTTTATATTTTTTATGTCTATCTTTTCCTGTATGGCTTTTTGATTTTCTGCTCTCTTAATAAGGTCTCTCCAACCTAAGCCTATGTAAATATTCTCCTAATTTTTTTCCTTTATTAATTTAATTTCTTTACATTTTAATTAATTAATTTATTTAATTTTTTTCCAGACGTCTACAACCATGTTCATAGCAGCATTATTCACAATAACCAAAATGTGGAAACAACCAAAGTGTACATCAATGGATAAACAGACAAAATGCGATGTATACATACAATGGAATATTATTCATCCATAAAAAGGAAGGAAATTCTGAAATATGCTATGACATGGGTGAACACTGGGGACATTATGCTCAGTGAAAAAAGCCAGTCATGAGAGAATTGATAGTAGATGATTCCGCCGATATGAGGTTCCCAGAACAGTCAAACTCAGAGAGACAGAAAGTAACAGTGGTTGCAAGGGGCTGATGGGAAAATAAGAAGTTATTATTTAATGGGTATGGAGTTTCAATCTGGGAAGATGAAAAAGTCCCCGAGACGGATGGTGAGGATGGTGGTACAACAAATGGGCACATGCCGCGCTATGGAGCTGCACACCGAAAAAATGATTCAGACGGTAAATTGTATCGCTGTATTTTATCACAATTTTAAAAATAGGAGAAAGTGACTCTGTGACCTGGAAGGGGAAAGCAGCTGTGGCCTAGAAAAGATAAGTGAGTGCATCCTGATGTGACCAAGTTTCAATGAGCTGATACTTTCAAAATCTTGTTTGCAGTGTCATCAGAGGTGGACGGAAGCCGCAGGCTGGCAGGGTGTCAGCTGGGAAGGCCTCTCGTGAAGGCAGCATGCAGGCCTGTGCGAACGCCCGTTTTACATTTTAATTTAGATCTCTCATCTACCTGGGATTAATTGTAGTTACGATGTGAGGAAGGATTCAGTTTTGTTTTCTTCCAAACAAATAGCCAATAGGTCAGTTACATTTAGTATATAAAACATTCTCCAAATGAATTGAACAGTGATCTTTCCATATATTAAGTCTTCATAAATACTTGGATATTTTTCTGGCTTTTTAAATTCTATTCTGCTGATTTTTTAAAAAAAGATTTTATTTATTTGTTTTTACAGAGAGGTGAAGGGAGGGAGAGAAACATCAATGTGTGGTTGCCTCTCATGAGTCTCCTACTGGGGACCTGGCCCGCAACCCAGGTGTTCGTCCCGACTGGGAGCCAACTGGTGACCCTTCGGCTCACAGGCCGGCACTCAATTCACTGAGCCACACCAGCCAGAGCTAAATTCTATTCTATTAACTTATCTCCTGTCTTTTCTGTGTCAATGTAACAATGTTTTAATTATAGTACTGTATGAAATAGGTTTTATATCTGTAACATACAGCCAGATTTCAGAATCACAGTGGCTAGGACAGAATAGAAGTTTATTTCTCTGTCAGATAAAATAATTCTGGAACTAGGCAGCCCAGGGCTGATCACGTTCATCAGGG